TTCCCGATTTAAGACTCAATGTCAGGAATGCGATACGTATTTCGCCTACTAAGTTCGAGTTAAGTTGTTTTTGTTACGTTTCACCGCAAAACAAAAGCTTGGTTCACTTAACAATTTTAGCAACTATGCTATCTGACGATGTGTGACAGTAATTTCCCGTAAAAATAAAACATTTACCTGCGCCTTGGTTAACAGATGATCTTAAAAACATTATTAAGAAAAAAGGCTATGCGAAAAGCAAGCTGAAAGCTGATCATTCTGTTAAAAATCTGCAAAATTATAATAAACTGCGGAATCGCTGCAATACATTGTGTGGAGATGCACAACGACGCCACATTCACAAATCTGTCGAAAACGGCGACCCTGCCAAAGTTTGGAAATTTCTTCAATCTCTTGGAGTTGGTAAAGCGTCTTCTAGTTTGCTTCACCATAATATTGATATGAACTCCTTAATGAATATTTCACCTCTTCTAGTTCCGTAGATATTTCAGATAAGTCGCGCACTCTGAACATTCTTTCTTCCATGCCAGCTCCTGAATTTCCACCGTTTAATATCATTCCTTTCACTGAGTGTGATGTTAAGAAGAACATATTATCAATCTCGTCTAATGCCGTTGGTGACGACAACGTTAGTCGTAATATGATTTTACCTATCCTTGACTTTATTACTCCTATTCCCCCATATCCTTAACGCATCAATCTCTTCATTCAAGTTTCCCGAAGCTTGGAAAAGTGCTCAAGTGACTCCGCGCCCTAAGAAAGCCCATGCATTGCAATTTTCCGATTTTCGTCCTATTTCTATTCTCCCGTTCCTGTCCAAAGTTCTAGAGAAACTAGTTTTCCAACAGTTAAATCTCTATCTGAACAAAAATTCTCTTCTTAATCCTCTTCAATCCGGTTTCCGATCAGGTCATAGTACGACTACAGCGTTGGTTAAAGTTACTGATGACATTCGACGGGTGTGGATAATAAAAAGCTCACTGTATTAGTATTAAATGAAACTACTTTACGGATTTTTTCGCGTTTTTTTATTTTAATTTAAATTCCCGACGTTTCGAACCCTTTCCAGCGTTCATGGTCACGGGACAGACTAAGTTGTTAGACGTCTTGATGTCATAGTTAACCCCGGCTACCGTCAATTATTTTGTTTATTTTTATTCCGATCCACGCAGAAGGAGCTTATGGTATCTTGAGGTCTGGCAGTGTTGGTGTGCTTGGATTTAATTTTATAGATTATGGGATCCCAAGCAGATGATAAACTCCAACCATCTTCTCTATTGAAATTAGGATGTTTCTTTATTTCAATAGCCTCGCGGATCATCCTTGGAAGGAATCGGTGTTCTTTTGCGAGGATTTTCGGTTGATCAAATCTAATGTAGTGGTTGGGGCGGTCTAAAATATGATCACAAACTGCAGACTTCTTCAACCGTCGGTGCTTCACGTCAGCTATGTGTTCTTTAATTCTGGTTTTTATTGATCGTTTTGTTTGTCCTATGTAAGAGAGCCCACAATCGCAGTCAAGCTTGTACACTCCTGGATCTTGTAGAGGGATATTACACTTGACAGATGGTAAAAATTGACTTATCTTCTTCGGTGGCTTGAAATATGTTTTAATTGAAGCACGCTTCAAGATATAGCCAATCTTGTCAGTGACTCCTCTGACATATGGCAATACAGCAGGCACTCGCTCGACTGTGGCCGGTTTCACTCGGTCACTGTGACGCAGGCGCGGGATTTGGAGCTTGTTGTCACGCAGCACTTGCTTGACATTGTGTAGCTCAGCGGCCAGGTGTTCCTTGTCACAGATCCCTCGTGCTCTCTGTAACAAACATTTACCAACAGTAGCTAACTGTGAAGGGTGGTGGTGAGAATCACCATTTAAATATTTATTTGTATGGGTCTCCTTTCTATATAATCTATAAAATTAAATCCAAGCACACCAACACTGCCAGACCTCAAGATACCATAAGCTCCTTCTGCGTGGATCGGAATAAAAATAAACAAAATAATTGACGGTAGCCGGGGTTAACTATGACATCAAGACGTCTAACAACTTAGTCTGTCCCGTGACCATGAACGCTGGAAAGGGTTCGAAACGTCGGGAATTTAAATTAAAAATAAAAAAACGCGATAAAATCCGTAAAGTAGTTTCATTTAATATGTATAATATTCGCGTAAAATCAAGAAAACAATATCACTGTATTAGTGTTGCTAGATTTTAGTAATGCATTTAATACCGTTGATTTTGACATTCTGTTGAGTGTGTTACGTTCTATTAACATATCTCCACTAGTGATTGGCTGGTTTCAAAGTTACTTAAGTGGCCGACGGCAGCGTATTCGCATAGAGGATGAATTCTCGTCCGGGTGTGAATTGCGCGCTGGAGTGCCTCAAGGTGGTGTGTTGTCTCCTCTTCTATTTGCCGTATTCATTAATTCAATTTCTCAAAAAATCACTTCTCTCTATCACATGTATGCAGACGATCTCCAAGTGTACACACAGTCAACTCTTGAAGACTTACCTACTGCTGTTTCCGCCATCAATGATGACCTGGCCGCTGTCAGTGAATGGAGTAAAATCTATGGTCTCAATGCTAACCCTACTAAGTCCCAGGCTATTATTGTTGGTGGTGTTGGTTTGATTTCAAGAGTTGACCTTCCCTTGGTAAAATTAAATGACGTTATAATACCTTACTACACCACTGTGAAAAATCTTGGTGTCCATTTGACAATTCCCTCTCGTGGTCGGAACAATTGAATCAAGTGAGCCGAAAAACATTTGCTGCGATGGGTTCTCTCCGTCGTTTACGTTCCTTTCTTCCCATTCCAACTAAAATTATGCTAGCACAATCCTTACTCCTGTCCATTCTCGATTATGCGGATGCAAGCTATCTTGATTTAACCGAAGAACAACTAAATAAACTTGAGCGTATTCAAAATTTAGCTATATTATTTATATTTGGTTTACGCAAATATGATCACGTTTCCGAATTTCGTTCAATGCTCAAGTGGTGACCCATTCGTTTTCGCCGGAATCTACACACTGTCTCAATTCTGTACTGTGTATTATTTAACCCTAGGACTCCAAGCTATTTAAAGGAACACTTTAAGTTTCTTGGCCATAACCATCCACCATCCAGAACGAGTTCTGCCATCAGCTGAAGATCTAATTCTATTACCACATGCGTAAAATTAAATAATATAAGAACAAACTAAATATTATAAGAACTCCTTTACAGTTAAGGCCATCTGCTTGTGGAATGAACTTCCTCAGCAAATTCGTCGTTCGAAGACGCTAGACAAGTTTAAAATTGACGTAAAACAACATTATCTATCGCTTTGTAATCCATAGTTTTTAATGGAAATATTCAGATTTAATTCTACTCTCGTGTATTTATTTATATATATTTATTTTTATTTATGTATGTTTATTATAATTTTGTTTATTTTATTATATTTAAGTCTATTTTGGTATTAAGTAAGTTTATTGAGCACACCACCTCCCACTATTCATTAGTTTATTTTTCCTCGTCCTAAGGTTGTCTGGAAGAGATCGCTTTTTAGCGATAAGACCGCCTTATTGTACCTAGCTTTTAAGACTTATTTCATACTAATTGTATCAAATTTTTTGTGGTGTACAATAAAGTATATAATAATAATAATTTCCAAAATCATCCACTCGATTTTTTGAGTTCATCTAAAGGTTGTCTCGAATACATTGCTGTAAGTAAGAATGTCGCCCATTGATTCTGCGACGTACGAAGAACTAACTACAAATTCAAACAATGTTATTGTAACACACATGCAAAGATAACCCCGGTATATTTTCTCCGTTTTCATAATAACAGAAGCAAGGTATCAAAGCTGTGTAAATGTTTAGTATGTAAACTAAAATGCGAAGGCCAAATTCAGTGGCACGTGAATCTTCATGCTACACATCGATGTATTTGCAATTTTAAAATCTTGGCAAATTTCTAAATTTATTACTTAAATACCCCATAAAATAGTAACAACGATAATTTTAAATTTTCAATAGAACAAATCTGTTTCATAACCTGGGTAGAAATTTAAATAATTTATTTAATTGCAGTAGGCAAGGGGCCCGAAAATAATACTAAAGAATAAATTAACTATGCAATCGTTTAAACAATTTAAATTGATATTTGTTTGCATTTGATAGAAATTGGTCAGAGTAAAACACTTTTAACAATATGAACAACATATTTCCCACATGTTATAATATATTATAGTGCTAAAAAATTAGTTTCTTATCTTTTAAACGTGGCCTTGCACTTTTTTTGAAGCTGTCTGTACTGATTTCATTTGCTCACATTCAAACAATCCAATAGTACTATTTAATTAAGTTTAATTTCCCAAATAGTCTCACGTGAACATCTTATAATTTTGTCTGCTTTATTAATAGAAAGTCGTTACAGACAGCCCTTCAAGTGGGAAATTCAATAACAATTCATTGATTTGTCCAAGTTAAAATAATGCTATTAACACGACCTTTATCGTTTACAAAGAACGAGTGTTGAAAATAAAATAATCGATACTTGATAAAAATCTACTTCCAATTTTGTCAGCACAAGTAATCATAGGTTGTTCTCACGCAAAGTTTAATGTGAATTGTTTTTGTAGTTGTGTTTATTTGATCCAACTAAGTAATCACGAGCTCGCATTTAATAGTATTAAGGATGATACGTTCCGGTAAACATTATTTGTATTTCTTCAGTGGTTTTATTTAAGGTGTCCCTGGTGACGTAGTACGTGCTTATTCAATAGCCAGTTTTTGGGTTATATTATCATTGAGAGAAGAAGCGATTTAGGTTGATGGAAATGTAAACAAATTTTTAGAACTATATTAAAATACTGAACACCGATGCGATGAGACTTAAATGATTAGTTAAATGTACAGAAGTTTCAATAACTATCTTCCCTTCAATGATTTTTTTGAAGAGAACTGAGTTTACTGTGATCGAAATAGTGGACGGCCGAGGAATGAGAAAAAATATTCCCAAAACTAGGAATCAACCCTTCTGGATTCCTTTCAAAAGTAAGTACTTAACTTTTTATGGTTTTAACATAAATTTTACTTTACTCGAGTCGCTAAAAATATATTTAAGTAAGATTTATGAAGTTTAACTCAATATTGATTTATGTTACAGAAAACAAAGTTGACGTCATCAAAACAAAAAAACATCCAACAACCTTTCAACAATCACTTCGAACTACATTGATAATAGGCCAAGCTTTTTCTTTACTCCCAGTTAATGGAATTCTAAGTAAAACATCGACTGGAATACGGTAGGCGAAATTTAATTAATTATTACAGGATTTTATTTTAATATTATAAAAGAGATATAAATAATTATCTTTGTTGCGAAGTAATGCATAATTGATTTCTAAGTATAAAATAAATGTTATAAATGTTATATTTTTATATGTAATATTAAATGTTGTTAATAATTATATTCTTTTTCCGTGACAATCACTAAGGACCCAGTGATGATTAAATTTGGACACGTTTCACAGGTTCCATTGGTCCTCATGGAAATGTGTTTACGCATTTCTATCACTGACTGGGCAGATCTTCATCACTATTATGTGTGTCGTCAAGGTCGCTAACTCCGAAACGACACTTAACGTAACCAGTAACTTCCTTTTTTTCTATTTTTGTATTGATCTTTAAGAAAATCTCTTAAGCTCTTTTATTTAGTGCTTGGTTAAATTGTCTTTTGCCAGTATGTTATAATAGTAATAAGACAGTCATAAGTAGTAATAATTGTTATTAATATCTATGGAATATATATGGCCCACCTTCAATTTACTGACGACATAGTAATCATCGTAGAATTGCTGAGAGTTTGGTCATTTGGCGAATCCATTTGGCATTTCTCCTCGTCCAATATACCATAATGTTTGAAGACAATTAATATGTATTGTCGGTTATGAACTAAGGATATGTATTTCTCCACGTAGTAGAACCCAGGTAGGCGAAAAGATAAGAAGATTATTAAGCAAAGGGCCAGCTATATAGCTCTCGTTTTAGCCATTGTTGTGTACGACGACCCCTACTTGATGGAGTGACGAACAGGGTAAATTTGCGGGAAAGCGATGGTTGCAGTCTCATGATAAGGCTTCGTGGCGAAGGCGAAGGTCAAATTGCGTGTATCTGTTATTACTATAACTCTCCATGTTAATATTATCTATTAACAGTTTTAATTACAGATCATAATTTCGTAGTTATAATATGTAAAGGTGTTAGAATAATTGACCTTGTGCTTATAGTTGTTTATTGAAACGAAAACCTTGAAGACATTGCTTTACAAGTTATTTATTTGCCAGTTAACTGTGGTAGGGCCACGCAACAACTTGGGCTGTTGCACAAATGGGCTGGTCCGTCCGTGTCAGTACCACGTACACTAACCTAACAGAAGACCGGTGTGAAGTAGAAGTTCTGCTTCTGCGTTTCGTCTGGCGAGTGAGGTAGCCGGGGCCAACTCTATTAAAAAGTCACGACGTATCTGCAATCCTACGGGTATTGAAAATGTGCGTGGATGGTGGTTATTACTTAACATCAGGTGAACCGCTAGTTCGCTTACCACCTTCACAGATAAAAAAACTGCTTAATTAATCTTATATTTCTTTCACAGCACCAATAATATTCTACAGTACGACTTGCATCACTATGATCATATTCTTCCGAGTTGCGAGGAACTGGCCCGAGTTAGGGAGGAATATATCGTATGTCGAAGAAATGGACCCTAGTTTCGACCACTCGGTTACGTACAAATGCGTTATAACTTGTGCAGTGGTACTGTTTTTGGCTCTGGGTCTGTATAACATTCCACAACCAATGTAATTGCAACAGAAAGTACTACAGCGTACAAAAGGCATTTAAATTATTGCTTCTTAAAAGTCCACAAAGAATACTATAAAATTAACTTTTGTTTTTAAATAAATTGTTTTTTTTTTTTCGCTTGAACCATGAAAATACTTCTACCGCACATAAGAAACCATTTTCCATTTAATACATGAAATTATGATACATCTTCAAATTGATGTTAAACAGATCATTACCTTAAATATTTTTTAATATACTATATATGTAATGTTACTAATGATAATGACTCGGTGGAGCCGTTGCTAAACTGGTGTCGAGGGTCGTGACAACTGTCGTCGTTTGTGTGACAATTGTTCCGTATCTTGGTGTTTGTTTCCCAAGGAGGGTTGATGTCAGGCAGGCGGCCTGTCGTAAAAACATAGCCAAAACCGCTTACAATATGATTGACAATTGTCATTGTTAATAGCTGTAAGCTTTACAAAAAAAAAAAAAACGTTACAGTGGAGCATATACTGTCATTATTATCTGCTTTTGCTGGAGCTATGACGTGCTATCCGAATAAAAATCTCTACGAGGGATTTGTCACACATTTTTATCCATGGGTATTTAATTTTTTACCATATACGCCATTTCTGGGAATTCTTACTCAGGTACTTAATTGGATTTTTAATGCGTTAGTTAAAACATATTTCATTTTATTTTTATCTTTGTAATTTATTTTCAGTTCCTTCATTTTCAATCAACGTTCATCTGGAACTTTTCGGATTTATTTGTGATCTGTATGAGTTACTACTTGACTTCGAGATTGGAGCATGTTAATAAGAAACTGTTACTTGCTCAAGGGAAAGTAAGATGTCATAGTCAGTTTGCTTTCAAATTATTTTTAATCAAAAACATCCCACATATATTATGCCTTTAATTATTCAATTATACTAAACGATTTATAAATATAAAATTACACACTGCAATAACCGTGAAAACTGATAATAGCAGAAATTAAATTGTAAAGATAAGACATGTTTGAATAACTTGTTTTTATGTTAATATGTTGACGTACTTATACGTATAACTTGGAAGCAAGTAATAAAAAAAAAGAAATTTGAAATGAATCGTATAGAAAGCATCTTTCATTTCAAAATTGATCTGTTCACTGATTCAATTGAACTTATTGCATGAAAACGTAATCATTCAATAAACACCTATTGAAAAACAAAATACTTTTTAAACACACCCAAGCCTTTCCCCTATGGGTGATTATAATTATATCTGGTAAACATATCCGAACTTGCAAGCTGAAGTGGCAGTGTTCAGGCCACATCGCGCGAAGAACTAATGACCAATGGGGAGTAAAGGTTTTTGAGTGGCGTCCACGAACCGGAACACGTAGCGTTGGAAGGCTTCCCTCTAGGTGGACAGATGACGGCATAAGAGTCGCGGAAAACCGGCGGATGCAAATGGCAAAGTGTCGTTAGTTGTGGCGTCCTAAGGGGGAGGCCTCAGTTCAACAGTGAACGTCTTGCGGCTGACGATGATGATGATAGATATCTTGTTGTTATTAATTTATTGTTTCTAGTATCTACCTGAGATATTTTGGAGGACTGCCCGCGAGAATTACGGGCGTGCGACACAGCTCGTGCGACAAGTGGATGACGTAATCAGCGGGGTCATTTTCATTTCCTTCGCAAACAACCTGTTCTTTATCTGTCTGCAGTTGTTTAACACACTGGAGTGAGTTATTGCTGCACTGCTTAAATATATAATGAAAATAGTTAAAAAATCTTTTGCCTATATCATATATATGCCAGCTTATACATATCCCACTGCTGGACAAAGGCAACACTGTACAGTGGTCATTAGGGCATAGTTCACCACGCGGCCCACTGTGGCGGACTTCACATATCTTCGAAATATTTTTTTGTTAGAAATTTAAAGTTTTTTATAGTGCTAATCTCTGCACTTAAGATTAAATATTAAAACTTGTACAGAAAGTACGAAAAGATTGTCGCCGCTGTGGGAATCGAACCCACGTCTTCCACATTCGCGGCCTGATGCTTTAGCCACTAAGCCAAACGGTTGATTGCCACATCAACGAAAATCTTAACGTCTTTTTTTTATCTACATTGTTTTTTTAGCATTTGAAGCGTCAGACCGGGAATGCCAAAGACGTGGGTTCGATTCCTACAGCGGCGACAATCTTTTCGTACTTTTTTTACAAGTTTTAATATTTTTTGTTATTATTTTGAAACTACGCAGGCCTCATGAAGTTTTTCATCACTGCCGAGCACATGATGAGCCAGCACTTAAAATAAATAATTTCATTAGTGCCAGACCAGGGTTCGAACTCAGGTTGCTCGAGAATACTGAATTAAAGGCAAGCGCCCGGACACGGCTCACCTAATTTGGATAAAAATATTTGAAACTAAAATTCTTGCTTAAACTCGAAGATTTTTCTGTGTCTATTGGTGAAATTTAACTTTTGTGAATTTAATGTTATTATTATTATTTAAAACAAAAAGTAGAAACTAATTATCTAATTCATTTTCTAATTAATAATTATTGTCAAAACATATTATTCTCTGATTACTTAATTAGTAAGTAAATATTTATAAACCTTTTTCATATAAAATATGAAGTATATTTCTTTTGATCAATATTTTTTCACGTGTGTTTCAATTTGATTTCCACAGAGACGGGATTAAGGGAACTGGTGACTGTAACAGCCGTGTAAAAAAGTACGTATATTTTTAATATTGCTTTAATGGGTAATGGGATTACTTTACCTTCACATTTTTCGTTTTTATTATTTGACATTTTTTATTATAATTTATCAGTTGGTGGTTATTCTAGTCTATTATAGTATATACTCACAGGTGTCCCGGCAACGCGTTGTTGTGGCTGAATTTGTTATACGTTAAATTAATGTCATGCTTAACTTTTCGTACTTAAATTTATCTGACGTATGTGTTATATATAAAATGATAAATTAATTTTAAGAATGAGGTATGAAACATATATTGTACGTAATTAAATACAGAATAAAATTAGCACATTCTGCGTAGATCGGATCATTTATTTCATTGGCTAAATTTGTTGAATTGACGATATATATATATATTAACTATAACCGTTATGGTGTCTGCGAATATGTTAAACGTGTGACATTAAATAATTTGTAGCATCAAGGAAAAGTTTGGAATTGAATTGAAAGCAGATTGCAGCCAATACATCATCTTGCAATGCCAGAAATTCATAGAACTCATACAAACTCAAAGCCTATCCTATGTCCTAAGTTGAACCAAAAAACAATTAAAAAAAATATTTTGAATATTTGTACATAGGAAGATGTATATGACAATTTATCGTACAACGTCGTTACTGAAGATCGAGTGATGGATGTTGATCTTGCGATCTGAAGTAATGGTATCATGTACTACTGATATACAATAATGAGTATGCAGTTTTATATTTTCTCAATATTTGAAATTCAAAGACTCCTGATGCTTTGTGGACCGCACTTAATATCCAAGTCAAGCGATGAAGAAAAATTTGACCACAATACAACAAGCTATAAAATTTTTTCATGGCCAAAGCTACTAGATATGATGGCTTATAGCGAACTTATATCTTTTTTTTTTATGCGAAAGGTTGTCAAACGAGCAGACAGTTCACCTGATGTTGAGTGAATACCGCCGCCCATGGACATATGCCACACCCGAGTGTTACAGATGCGTTGACAACCTTTGAAAACTGGGCTCCGGCTACCTCACTCACCAGACGAAACGCGAAAGTATTTGTCTCACTTCCACCTTACGCTGGTCTTCTGTGAGGTCGTGGTACTTACCCGGGGCCTGCCCATTCGTGCAACAGCCGAGGCTGCTGCGTGGCCCTACCAATTCATTAATAAAACACCATTACTTAATAATTACTTTACAGGACCACTATTCTTGGGGGTTACGAAGCAGCTGCATATTTTCTGTTCTCTCTCGTGTATCTTATTACACGTTCAGTCGCTGTATCTCTCATAGCTTCCCAAGTTAACACAGCATCAACTGTTCCCGCACCGGTGTTGTACGATGTACCATCTCCAGTTTATTGCTTGGAGGTAAGCGCTGTGTGCTACAAAATAATCTAGCCTATATTGGTGAAATTAAAAGCAAAATTGGATAGTTTACATAATAATTCCTTGTAATTATGCAATTATACATTACAAAATGATTCTATGTTTACGGATTTATCTCGTTTATTTTTGCGTTTATGCTTTAAATTCCCGAGGTCTCGAACCCTTTGCTGCGTTCACGGTCACGGGAATAGTCTGTCGTAAAGGGTTCGAAACTAAAACCAAATGTGCCAAAAATAGATGTTCGGAGCCTGGGTGTAAATTTTATCTATAGTTTAGTACTCGTGGACCACCACCTGCTCTGGTTTCCTTTAATAAGAAGTAAATAATGTAAAATTCATATACATAATATTATTATTTTAACGTAGTAAGCAGCTGTTTTGAAGTTTTATAAAAAAAACAAGTCCTACGTCCTTTATTTTCGTTTTATAAATAAAACGAATTAGCCATTTTTCAGGTTCAGAGATTTTTGGATCAGATTCACGGTGACAAAGTTGCGTTGAGTGGACTACAGTTTTTTAGCGTGACGCGAAGTTTATTGTTAACTGTAAGTGTACAACGCTAGTTTTGACAAAAATATTTTACTTCAAATTCTTACTAAATTGTCTGAAATTAATGTGCAAGAAATTGTTGTTGTTGATCTCCTGATCCAAGTAAAAACATAACTTATACCGAAATTTAATTGAAGCCACGAATTCTTTTTATATATTTAATTACTTCTCATTAAATTTACTTAATGCCATCAGGTTATAATATAATTTTGCTTTAAATTTTTATGTTTGAGTTGTGCAAATGTTTTTGTTTTCGTTTTCTTCTTTCAGGTTGCTGGAACAATAGTCACCTACGAGCTTGTGATGTTCCAGTTCAACTCACCACAGGATTCTGATGCAGTTATCAGTAATATAACGACAACAGCTACCACTCCACATAATTAAATCTATTTTATCCTGGCACAAGTCACATTAAGAATTGTATAGAAGTAACCTATACTATGTGTAATATGTTTCAATAAAATCAAAACTGCACGAAGTTTGGTTAAATAACTATTTATTTTATTTTTACCTTACTTACAGTATCTTCATATAACTTCTTATGGAACCAAAATTTTATGTTGCATACGAGAGAAGTTCGCAACTTAATAGATAGGGTCGGGTCAGCCCCGGTTATCAAATTCATGCAGAAAGTTTGTTAAAATGGAACGTAATTGTTTTTATATGTACTTAGAAAGCTTAGAAAAATAAAATAATTCAGCCTATTTAACAACCGTTTACGTTTTTGAGAAATTAGATATAATTATTAGACGTAACTTAATAGTAAAACTAAAGTAACAATCCATACATGTTCCACTGGACAAAGGCCTCTTTTGCTCGGAATATTCTAACACGCGGACTGCGTGTTAACTGCGGATTAACAGACTTCTCATAATCTTCGAAATATTTTTTTAATGTTTCGAAAATATGCAAGCTTCTTCACAACGTTTTCCTACACCGCTGAGCACGTGACTTAATTTAATAGGTCAATGATAAATCATTCGTATTAGACTAAATTTTATTTTTATTTATTAATTTTTAAAATTTATTTGTGCCACTCGCATCTTTTTTAGATGTATGGCTATGAGGTTTTGTTGATCGGAGATAAAAGAAAATAGACATGTTACTTAAGTATCATTGCAAATAGCTGTCGTAAACAGTAAAATAGTTTAAAGTTCAATATAATTATATACTGTTCACAGCTATGTCTAATCGTTATCCCCTGTTATCCATCTCATCTCACTTAGCCTTTCTTGATGATCTTTGCTATCGTCGTATTTAGTATTTCGTTGATTATAATTCTGTTCAAATTGATCATCCCTCAATTCAACATTTCTCATGGCATTGTCCCTAACTTGCATTCCATTTCGTATTTGATCCCGTGTATGAATGTTATCTTCATTTATTTTGTTTATTGCCAAATTTTTAAATTGCGCTTCCCTCTGTGCTTTCCTGACTTGCGTTTCGGTTATCTAGAAATGTGCACAGTGGCATTTAGTTACGACAGAGACGTACTATAAATTTAGATTAAAATTTTTACAAAATTTTAATACGTGTACGGGGTTTTTGCGTTGCCAATCAATTATTTTACTAATATACCTTTAAAATCAAATATCACAGTAACGTTTAGTTCTAAGTTATGGAAAGATTGAAGATTTTTTTCTTTTTCTAGTCAATAATAATGGTCTGAAACCAAAAAATCAACCAATACCGTAAAAAGTAACCAATTAAATATCAATTTATATGCAAAAATATTTTGATTTTTTTGCTGTCGGTTCTAACGGAAACAAAAACTTAAAAAAAAACATATTTTAATTAAATATTTGTTTTGTAGCATAATACTTCGATTTCACACCAGACTTCTGTGAGGCCATGGTCATTCGTGGTAATATAATTTTGGCTAGTTTGTCAACCCTTTACTTCGTTATAGATAGGTGCAGTAATAAAATTAAAAATATTTAAAACGTCAAAGTTTTTAGTTTTCTTTTTAGTTGTCGTTTGCAACATACCTCGAAGCGTCGATCAACGACATTTTTTCGGATATCCATCGTTTTTCTATAGCTCAAATTATTGTTATTTAACCATCTCCTATTGTTCGGTTGCAAGGGAATTGTGTCTCTTCTTTTAATATTTGCAATAATCACACCGTTGGAAATGTAATCGTAATTTTCGTTCTCCAAGCACGAAACTGGTATTACAAACAAGGTATATACTAAGACGTGCATTTTACATCGAGCTGCCTTACTCGAATGGATTGAAAAATGTGTTTTATTTGTTTCACAAAAATATTGGAGTTATTATTTTTTTATTTAAAGCGGGCATGAGGATTTAATGGTTTTCAATATTATAACTGCTTGCGATATGTAAACACTCCCATAACTATACCCGTTAAATTGAAGATTAAAAATGCGTTCAAATATTAAATATTATTACCGACGCGTAGTTCGGCTTTAACGCTAGACGCTCAAGCGTCCATCTCAGGGAGTATATACTCCCTAATTTATTGCAACTGTAAATGGGAGAGATGATAGTGATGCAGAAATGCAAAAGAAGGAAAAATAATATGTGTGTTACGACGAATGTAAAAAGAAAGGAAAGAGAACTGACACTGCTGCCAAAAGGTGTAAACTAAATGGTTCCCATCGCCAGAGGGCCCACAGGCGCAACCTGAACCATTTGGCAAATTTGAGAGAAAATAATGCTAGGGATATTATACAAAAATAATACATGAAAGAGAGCCAAAGAAAGGAACAGTGGAAAGAATATTTTGAAACATTTATCAATAAAGAAAGTGATTGGAGCGGAATGTGAGAAAATACACCGGAAAATATGGGAATGGAATTGACGAGTATGAAGAGAATGTGGTGCAAGGTTTGAAATCTATTAGTCGGACGGTATACATATAGAAGGATGGAATCGTTCAATAGCTGATGAGTCGTAAACTTCGTTTGCATCTAATATATTGTTGCATAATGAGTGATCCCAAACAAATGGTCCAAAAGCTGGTTATTGCCCATCTATAAGAGAAAGGGATTGCCCTATTGTACAACTAAATATTCGGTAAAAAAAGTCAATCACATGATATGAAGATTGGGGATATGCTGTAATTGCTGTAATTTAAAGCAAAAAAAAAAGAATATGTCTACTTACGTACGCACGTAAGAAGTAATACATCTTTAGCGTAAAGACATTAAATTTAATTTATTTTTCTTTTTCTAGTTTATTTTTTATATATGATCATATTATTATTAAGATAACATTTTACGATAACATTACCCTGTGTTGTACGGACGTTTAACAAACATAAAATTTCACGTGGACTAACACCTGGATCCGAAGAAAGTATCTGTGGGTCACACAGATTGTCGCCCAGTGTGGGAATCGAACCCACGACCCCCAACTTTTTTTTATTTTTTTTTTATTTTAACAAAGTAACTCTACAGACTCGTGGTCCGTACCCTTTTTTTTTTTTGGTTAACATGTTTTTTTTTTTTTTTTTTTAATTTTCTTTTTGGGCTGTCACCGCCGCGTACATCAACCGGGCTGGTAGCGGTGCAGCAGTGAGTTCATATTTGTATTTATATATTTTTTTATTATTATTATACATATATATAAAATAATTAATATATATATATATATATATATATATTTTGATCTGCACAGTTTTTGCTGTAGGGAGAAGGGACGGAGATCTCGTCGTCGCAGGTTATTTGGTAATAGGTGTTATTTTTTTTCTAGTCTCTCTCTCTGCGACCGCTGCGTCTCTCTTCCTAATTGCCATTTTAAGGTTGTAGTCTCTTATCTTGCAGGTTGATGCCGCCATGGCTTTTTGGATAAGGCGGCCTCCTGCGTCGTCACAGACGTCTGTGTAGTAAACACAGCTGACCGTGTGCCGGGATACCGCCACTACGGCATGCTGAACGCTGTCGTGCAGCTGTAGCTTGCTCACTTTTGTACGCATGACAACGACTGACCCGTATGTTAGTCCTTGTGCTTCATGGATGGTGAGAACCCGCGAACCGTTGCCCGATCCATATCCCTGGTTGATAAGGGCCTCTTTTTCCGCCTGGTATAGACTAGGAAAAGCGTTTCTGGACGAGTTTTCTGTATTTGCGAGTTGGAGTACCTTTCGTCTTGTATCTTGTATTAACTGATGTTTGTGCTTTCAGTCCAGAGACTATTAAAGCTTCATCTGACGCAGAACCGGTGGGCTAGCCAGAACCAACGAGTTTGGGCCCTCCGCTGTGGGTAGGGCCGCGCATGTGCTCATGCGTGCGTTTAACTACGGCATGTCATCGAAGGGCCATCGAAGTAGCGGTGCGGACCGAGACCCCGATGGCCGTCGACTGTGTTTTTAGCTAATCGGTGGCTGGGGGCGGTGAGAACCGCCCTGGAACGCGGGTGTACCTTGTATACGCGTTGTGTTGGTCTCGCCGTGCTCGGAGGCGAGGGCGAACTAATGTGTTTGTTGCTACACTAACTGTGTATGTAGTGTTATCCGACGGGACCCCCGACGGTGGGTCCGACGTACCTAAGTCCCCTTCCTCGACCGGGTCGATGAGGACGTTTCGCGGGCGACGCTTGTTGACGTTCGCGTTTGTGTCGGGTTGGTAATTTGCTGCGCTTACCACCAGAGGTTTGGGATGATGTTCGGCTCTATCGAAGAACCGTTTGGTCAGGTCTTTGAAAAATTCGCGAATTATCGGGAGTCTGCAATCAATGTGCAGGTCGACGTTGCGTTGATACCACTGCGCACCGGTTGCGCGACGGATGAACTTATTTTGCACTACTTGCAACTTGTGCAAGCGAGTAGGGTGCGTGTGGGCGAAAATCATGCATGCGTAGGACATGATTGGCCGTACGCAAGCTTTGTATAAAAGTAATTTGTGTCTTAAGGACATTTTACTTGACTGGTTAGTTAAAGTGTTTAGCCGGCCGGAGACGAAGGCGGCTCTGTTACGGACGTTATTAATATGCGATGTGAATGACATACGCGAGTCGAAAGTGACTCCTAAATATTTTACCTTTTTCTCCCAGGGGAGCGGTTGGCCATAAAGAGATATTTGCCCTAGCTTTCTGCATTGGCGACGACCTTTATAAATATGTGACGGGTAAGTACTTCGTGTGAAGTGAATCGCCACACTCTTTTCGGGATTTACTTCAATTCTCCATTTGCGGAACCAATCGCCCAGGCGGTTGGCGGCGCTTTGGAGTCGACTGGTTAGTTGACTAAGGTTGCGGTCTGAATAAAAGAGCGCCGTGTCATCCGCGAAAAGCGCGAGATTGACGTGGGGGTCTTTTGGTATATCGCTCGTGTAGAACGTAAAAAGTAAGGGTGAGAGGCAGGAGCCTTGTGGAACGCCAGCCGTGAGGCGGCGGCTTGTGGAGAGGGCACCTTCAAC